TATTTGTCACAATTTCCAATTTCCTTGATTCATACTTCATACATGACAGGTTCCGATTTTCATTGGATGTTTACAGCTGTTTCTCTTCATTTTGAGCTGTGCCCCATCAGCAAATGAAGGTCCTGTGGACTTTTCTCCCACGAGCTTTACTCCATTCGCGTTATCACTCTACTTTGAGAAGGCAGTTCTTCCCCAGTTGCATTCTGAGTCCCTTCCAATCTGAGAGGATCAACTTCCGGCACTCTACCTGACAATATTCTGGTGTTCTTCATCACGTTTCATAGTCAATATTCTGGTGCTGACAGTGTCCCACTGCTATTGATAAGGTTCTCAGTGACTAAATATTCGGAATTAGTCTGTCTCTCCTTCTTCCTGGTCTGTTTCAGTCTGGAAGGTTTCATCTGAAACTTGACCACCATAAGTGATTCTACTGGTATTTAAAATGCTGGTGGTGTAGCTTCCAGAATCACAGCGACACACAAGGCACCGCAGTGAAACAAACTGACAAATGAGTGGTGAAAACTAATTGGAGTTCACCAAAACTGCTGAATACAGATGAACATTAAAAAACAGTACTTTTGTGTGTCAACAATTACCAATTCAAAAGAAGTAATAAGAAAACAAAACTATGTGTAAGCTAACAACATCGTTCCTTCTTGTTGTTGTTGTTGGTTTCAACTCATAGTGACTCGATGTACAACAGAATGAAACACTTCCTGGTCCTGTGCCATCCTCACAATTGCTGCTACATTTGGGTCCATTGCTGCTGCCACTGTGCCAATCCATCTCACTGGGGGGGTCTTCCTCTTCTTAGGTTACCTTCCCTTTTATCTAGCGTTGTTTAGTACCATCGAGTCCATTCGGACTCATAGCAACCCTGTACAGGGTTTCTGAGGAGCAGCTGGTAAAAGTTGAACCACCGACCTTGTGGTCAAGTGCTTAACCTACAGCGCCACACCAGGACGCCAGCAAATAAAACACTTAGGGTACCTGAAAATAAATCTTAGGAAAACTGCTGATGATTTTATGAAAGGAAAAAAAGCAAGGGTCTTCCAGGGCTATGAAGGAAAAGCAGAATTGCAGGGAAGGTCTGCTGTTACATTCAGTGGAAAGGCCCGATACACAAAGACATCATACGTGGATCTTTTTTTGTTGTTGTTGTCAAGCATCATAGAGTCGGTTGCGACTCATAATGACCCTGTACAGGGTTTCCGAGGCTATAAATCTTTACGAGAGCAGAAAGCCTCATCTTTCTCCCACAGAACAGCTGGTAGTTTCGAACTGCCGACCTTGAGGTTAGCAGACCAATTCGTAACCACTACACTATAACACCTTCTTTTTGAAAAATTATTTTTTACATGATGTTTCCTAAAGCGAAACCTCAGAAATTCAAAATAATTTCAATTCACATCCCAACTGATTTTTCATTGCATGTGACAAGTTGATTGTACAATCCATATGGAAAAGTGAACGAAGAAAGTTCAGAACAAAAGGAAAGCTGACCGGGAAGGTGAGGGAGGAACCGTTCCTCCAGAAATGGAGACTTCTTTTCATGTTGTTTATTAGGAATTGAGCTGTGTCCCCTCCTCCACCTCCAAGAGTGTGTGGAAACTTGGAATGAAGAGATCATGAGAGTTTTCCAGGTATATTTTGAAGCTCCATTGTAAGTGTGAGTGTCTTAGCCGTGATCCCAGTGGGTCTGATCCAGGTGGGAATCCTGGCTTCTTTGCTTTGTTAATGCAACAAGTCAGTGTAGGATTGGCCTAAACTGAATCACTTCTCAGTGATTTATAAAGCTGATGAGACACAGAAGGAAGGACTAACTGTGGAAGGCAGACATGTGAGGACTGCTCAGGATTGGAGGAATGCTGGGGTTACCCTGAGAAAATAAACGTCCATTCTTGAAAGCCCCCCTTGTGGTACTGTGCTACAGTAACACTAGGAGCCCAAGACCCTGTATCAGGAAATAAGCTTGTTCTAAGGCAGAAGGGACAGGTAGTTCCAGCCTAGAGACAGTGGGCCTGCGGTCCCTCTTCTTACGTGCGGACCTGCGGACAGGAGGACCACTGTGGGTGCAACAGAGGCACAGTGGTGTGACAGAGAGCTGGGGACATGAGGCAGGGAAGGAGTGGCCCAGGCATGAAAGACCATGCCCAGCTCCCTGGGGTTGTGGATGAGACAGAAATGAGCACATAAGCCATGGGTGCTTCCCTGACCCTGAGCTTTCCTACACAGCTGCAGAGAAGAAAACACATCTGGCCACTGATTTGTCTGTACACTCAGACAACATCACTCCACAGCTGACAGACAGACTCAGAATTCATTCAGTTCAGTCTTCTCCCTACTACGGCCAAGCTCAGGGCACATGATGACTGACCGACAGAATGCCTCGAGAAAGCTCAGCTTCAAGTCTCTTCCCCACTGAGGACATCAACAGTACTGCCCCTTTCCTCCCATGATACTTAGAGCCTCTGCCCACTGTCAACTCCAGTCTCTCCTCTACTTTAGCCTTGAAAATAACACCCACTCCCCACTTCCAAGTTCACTGCTCCCCATAATGACTTCTTCTCATCTTCCTGCTGCTTGATCCTCTGCCCAGGTGATTCTTGGTGTCCCCGCCAACTCTGAGGTATCCCTGTTAGCTGCACAATTAACCCTCTCCTTGGATGGTGACGGAAGTCCACGGTTCCCATCACAAGTTCTACATTGCTGTGAGGTGCTGTTAAGTCAGCATCTATTCACGGCAACTTTATGGACAACGGTACCAACTCACAGCCCAGTCCTGCGCCACCTGCATGGTGGCTGTGGGTTTGAGTCCACCGCTGCAGCCAGTGTCTGTCCATCTCATAGAAGGTGTCTTTCATCGTCACTGTCCCTTCACTTTACCAAACACGACGGCCTTTGCTAACAATCGGTTTTTGCAATTCCATCCTTCCATGAACTTTTTGAAGGCCCATTGTATTTCTTCTAAGATAGATTTGTTCACCATTCCAGCAGTCCATAGTTCTCTTAATGGTCTTGTCAACACCACAATTAGAATGCACTCATTTTTTTTTTCTGCCTTCTGTTTTCATAGTTGGATTTTCAAATCATATGAACCCACTGAATAGACCATGGCTTTGGATCATAACTCCTCAGTCCATATCACGCGCCCAGACCTGTCCTCTGAGCAGCCAAAAGTTAGAGCCATTCAGCCACAGGGAGAAGAAGCAATACATGTGAATGATGGTGTTGGTGAAGACTACGAAAAGTATCACAGACTGCCAGAGGAACGAACACGTTTTGTCTGTGTTGGAAGAAGGGCAGCCAGAATGCTCTTTAGAAGCAAGGAGAGTGAGGCTTCATCTCACATACTTTGGACATGTTATCAGAAGGGACATCATGCTTCATAAAATAGAGGGTCATCAAGAAAGAGAAAGCCCCTCCATGAGACAGGCTGACACAGTGATAGCAACAATGATTTCAACCAAACCACTGTGAGGACAGCCTAGGACCAAGGCAGTGTTTTGTTCGGGTGTGCACAGGGTCGCTAGAAGTCAGAGCTGACTCAATGGCTCCTTAACAACAACAGCAGCTGTCCTAGGGAAGGTAATGAGAGGAACCATGTCACAAAGCAGCACCAAGGGGAGAAAGCGTTCTGCTGAAGATAGCATGTCATCCCCAGGCAGTCAGTTCCTGAGCCAGAAACTCAACAGGTTCTAAGGTAAAGGCTGAGAGACTCCCCACAGATCTCTGGGTTGATGATACTGATAAGATATGCAATCAGTAAACACAAGACAGTCCACATATGAGATGACTCCAGAAACTGAGGAAGAACTCAAGGGCGAGGAATAAGCTTAGAGGGTTGGAAGCCCGTGAGATAAGCCTCCAAACCCAGAGGGATTCTGGAAGAACAGGAAACTGAGATGTAACATTTGGGGCACAGTGAAATCATTGAGTTACAAAAACTGTGGGGCAAAGCATAAACCGAAACCCTGGACCACACAGGAGCCGTCATGTATAGCCCTGGACCACTCAGGAGTTCAGCTAGCCAACAGGAGCGATGGGAGAAGATGAGTAGAGCCCTGGCCACCAGCAGCTTGAGGAGGAGACAGAGATTCTACAGTGGGCCCTCCAATACGTCCCGCCATGGTGCCAGGGGGCACAGGTCATACAGGGTGATGCGGAGGAGCCAAAGACAGTCTCTGCACATTGGCTCAAGGCTGTTTACTTCCTTCACAACAACTGAAGGCGCCTTGGTCCCAAACAGTCTACTGGTGGCAAACTCAAATTTGTAGACATCAACTGGTTGCCGAAATAACCCAGAGCAGCCGATGTTTGTCCACTTGGAGCCTACCAGATTTGGGAGCCTTGTGAAAGGGTGCCCACCATCTGCTGGTCAGATTGTATTGTCGTTGGGTGTCATCACCTGGCTTCCAACTCTAAGCGACCCTACAGCACAGAGTAGAAACGCCCCATAGAGCGCAGAGCCTTATGGGTGCAGACACTGGGTCTTCTCTGTCATGGACTGGATGGTGGTTTGGAACTGCCAACCTTTTGGCTAGCAGTCAAGCACTTAACCACTGCAACACCAGGATTCCTTCGGTAAGATTAAACTCTGATGGTGTAGACCCCACGCTGCTGTCCGCTCACACTCTGATCCAGAGACTCCCCACCTTGCTGCAGACATACATCACCAAGGTATATACAAGCTCCCTTCTCTCTTCCCCTTACCCAGATATCCCTGCCTTCTCCTTCTTCAGGGACCCTGCTTCAGGGACCATCAAGTACAAGTGACCGCCAATGCTTCAGGCATTGTAATTAATGATGATCTCCCCTTGCCCTGTCCTTTTCCTTCATCAGTCCCGAACTCCCTCGAGGCCCCTACAGACAGCTAATCCCAAGGACCCTATTTGAAATCAGGGTCTCCTTGTGCAGCTGATAACCAAGTTGACCAAACCAAGGATGTCATCAACCAAGACACCCAATAAAGAACATGCAGAAATGTCCTACCGCCTTACCTGGTCCCAAGGAGAGATGGTACCACCAAAACACATAAACAAGTATCCCATGGCCACAAGACAGATCCATATCACCAAAGAGAAGAGGCGAAGCAGCTTCTTAAAAACAGACTCAATGCAGACCAGGATAAATATCGCAAAGAAGATGGCCAAGGCGGTGGGCACTGTTATTAAAAATGCCACATGGTCTTCCACCTCCTAAGGAGAGAGAAACAACAGACATATGAAAATGTGACAACTTAAAGATACTCCAAAGCCCATGACTCATGTAATGGGGATGTTGTCAGCATTATTCAACATCAAGGAAGGGATTTGAAAGTATCATTTCAAAAGTACGCCATCGTGAGCTTTAACAAAACCATCGTTTCAGATTCAATGACCACATGTTTCTGTGTCAGTCCCCCAGTATTAGAGATTCTAATTATGCAAAACAGAGATCATGTTGATTTTCAAATTTCCCTCATAAATGAAGAAAGGAATGTTACTCAAAAGTAGAAGCAAGGGAAGTGGGTGACGGGGCACGTTAATATGAGGTGAAAACACAACCATCTGTCTGGCCACCCGGAGAATCAGAGGTACATAAACACTGTAGCTGTGGAAAATTACAGATATTTTATGTCTTCCAAATGGATCTGAATTGTTTTATTAAAAAAAAAAATTTTTTTTGAAACCCTTCTCAGTCTGTAAAGTGATACATTTGTATTTCAATCCATGGCAATTAATGTTTGAACAGGGCCAGAGGTTAATAGAAAAAGGTCAGAGCAGGCTAAATATAGACAATGAGAAAACGAGAAATACTTAGAAGAATGAGCCACATTTTCGAGTTCACTCTTCCTACCTCCCTTGGGCTCTGATTACAAAATCAAAATGGGCATTTATTATTAGCCTTTGATTAATGGTGTCTTAAAAAACCCATTTGTGTGTACCAACACTCATTTTCTATCTATCCTTCTGGCCACATACACAGAAGCACTTGAGTTCAATTCTATCCACGCGCAACATGATCAGCAGACATAACATTTCCTTGACTTGTACGCATGGATTCAAGGGTTGGTTTTACCAAACGTTGTTCTGGGAGCCTGCTACCTACAGCATTCACTATGGGATGGGGCACTGTTGAAGGCTGTGAATACCAACCAACCAAGTTTAGTAATTGAAACACCCAAAGGATTTTTATTCAGAAAAATCCCAATATGGTCTGGATTGGAAGAGCTTCCACTGCGAAGAAAATAATAGCAAATCTGGACTCATAGAGCAGCTGTCTTTGACAAACTGGAGCTTGGTGGTCCCTTATCTTTCCTGTGGGCACACGGTTCAATCAGTTGTTCATTCAGTCCTATCCGCAGCTCTAGCTGGAGTCCTGGTGTGGCGCTGTGGGATAAAGCACTGGACCGCACGGTCAGTTGGAACCGACTCAATGGCACTTACCAACAACAACAGATGGATGGCACTATCCCGATCCCAAGCACCTAGCCATTAGGACACGGGGCAGTCGAGCAGATGACTATTAACCACTCAGCATCCAGGCTAACATCTAGGGTAAAGGCCTCCCTCATCTCAGCTCATTCCCTTTCTCCCACTCACAGCAATGTGCTCTATGAGAGATGAGGGCTGGGAACACATCAACAGCAATGATAATGGCAAAGGAGGCTCTGGCTGCTACAGCCAATGAAAGCACTCAATGACCAATCAGAAACCCCAGAAGCACTCTAGGAGAAAGACCTGGTGATCTCCTTCCAAAATCAGCCTTTGAAAACCCTAGAGAGCCCAGTTCTACTCCAACACACATGGGATGGCCATGAGTCTGTGGCTTTTTATATCTATAAATAAGATGTTGTTTGGAAATTGGATTTTCTTTGTTTTAGGGTGGGGTCTAAATCTAATGATTTTTGAGTTGGTAAAAGAGCAGGTGAGCCACAGAGACACACACGGAGGGGAAGGCAGATGATGGAGATAGGTACACCTATACCCTCAGGGATGCCTGGAATAGCTAGGGCTTCTAGAAGCTGAAGTTGTCCACAAAGGACCTTCCCCAGAGTCACATGCTGAACTGACAAATTACATTGCTGTCCTTTCAAGCCACCCACGTGCGAGATCTGTGGACTGTTGGTACTAGGAGACTAAGTCCAGTGTTTCATGTCTCTCAGTCTTCCAGTCATCTCCATTCTGGGGTCTCAATGCATGGAGGGAGTTCTGGGGTGGCGATAAGCACTACACTGCAAACCACAAGCTTGTTGGCTCAAACCCACCAGTCACTCCTTGAAACCCTTAGACAGGGCCACTGTGATTCAGCACTGACTTGTCAGCACTTAACAACAACAAGGCACGAGCTGTGGTTTCACGTGGACAACAGTGATTGCACTGCTGGGGGAGAGCACAAAGCTCTCAGGAGCCCCAAGAGTATTTTCTTAGTATTTTTTTCATTTCAAAGTATTTTGAAACCAGAAGAAACGAGATCAATGGAAACTCATAAATATTAAATCCTTTTTTTTTTTTTTTCCATTACAGGATTCCATCCATAAAGTGAAAAAACAGAACGTACAGTTGGGGAGAAAACTTTGGGGAACCATAGGTCAGATAGAGTCAATATATAAAACACTATAGCTTAACAACAAAAAGATAAAATCAATAAATAGGTAAAGGACTTGAGCTGACATCCCACTAGTGAGCATGCTCCAATGGCCAACAGATGGCACAGGGAGAGACGGATCAAGATGAAGGGCATTGTTTTGTTGCTGTTGTTGTGTGCCATCAAGTTGACTGTGACTCACAGGAGCCTCTACTACAGAGGAGAATGGCCACTTGGCTGTCATTTTTTATGAGCGCAGATGGCCACGTCTTTCTACCACGTAGCTGCTTGAAGATGCAAATCCAAATCACAATGAGAAATTGCCTCACATGCCATTAGAATGGTAATGGTCCACAAAATGAAAACTGCAAGTGTTGACGAGCTGTGGAGAACCTGGAACTCTCACCATTACGGGTGGGAAGGCAAAACAGTGCCGTCACTGTGGAGGACAGTTTGGGGGCTCCACAAACAGCTGAACAAAGGATTATCATATGATCCAACAACCCCAATCCTAAGTCTGGACCCAAAGAAGTGAAGGCAGGAACGCAAACAGAACCGTGCACAGGAGAGCTGCCGCATGTCACAAGAGCTGAAATGTGGAAACAACTGAAATGTTCCTCATGTGATGAATGGATAATCCAAATATCCACACACTGGAGTATTAGTCCTAAAGAGAAATGAGGTCCCGGTGCATGTCACAACACAGATGACCCTTGAAAGAGACAGCATGCGGAGCAAAATACGTCTGTCGCAAAAGGGCAAATACTGCATGATCTCACTTATATGGAATAAGCAAATCTATAAAACTCAAAGACCACTGGGAGCTACCAAGGGTAGGAAAGCGGGGAGTGTTTTGTGTAGATGACTCATGTTAATGGAGATGGAGAGAAGGACAAAACAGATGGCAGAAGAGACTCTGAAACTTGCTCTCCAGTATAGAGCTGCTATAAAGCAAATGGCAGAAATAAGGAGGTCCAAGAGCTGAACAGAACGTTTCAAAGGGAAGTTCAAGAAGACAAAGTCAAGTATTAAAATGAAATGTTCACATATAATGAGATTTATAAATGAAAAATATTATAAAGACCAGAAATTAGAAAACCAAAAGGGACACAAACTCAGCATTTCAGAAGCTGAAAGAGCAGAGGAAAAAACTCAAGCCTTGACTTACAGGATTCTATGGGCAAAATATTGAATCATGCAAAAAGCATCAAAGGAAGACGGAAGGAATACACAGAGTCACCGTACTAAAAAGAAATGGTCGATGTTTAAACGTTCCAAGAGCTAGCACATGATCAAGAGTCAATGATCCTGAAGGAAGAATCCCAAGGTGCACTGAAGGCATTGGCAAAGAACGAGGCTCCAGGAAGTGATGGAATACAAATTGAAATCTTTCAACAAACTAATGTGGCACTGGAGGCACTCACTCTCTATGCCAAGAAATTTGGAAGACAACTACCTGACCAACGATTGGAAGAGATCCATATTTGTGCCCATTCTATAGAGAGGTGACCCAATGGAATGCAGAAATCATCGGACGATAACATTAATATCACATGCAAGTTAAATTTTACTAAAGACCATTCAAATACGGCTGCAGCAGTACATTTACAGGGTACTGCCAGAGATTCAAGCTGGATTCAGACGAGGAGGTGGAATGAGGGATATCATTGTTGATGTCAGATGGATTTTTGCTGAAAGCAGAGAATACCAAACACATGTGTACCTATGATTTATTGACTATGCAAAGGTTTTCGATTGTGTGGATCACGACAAATTAAAGACAGCACTGCTGAAAATGAATACTTGGAAACACTTAATTATGCTCGTGAGAAACTTGTACATAGACCAAAGGCAGTTGATCAAACAGAACAAGGGGACATTGAATGGTTTAAAATCAGGAAAGATGTGCACCAGGGTTGTATTCTTTCATCATACTTATTCAATCTGTATGCTGAGCAAATAATCCAAGAAGCTAAATTATATGAAGAAGAACATGGCATCAGGATTGGAGGAAGACTCATTAACAACCTGTGATATGCAGATGATACAACCTTGCTTGCTGAAAGTGAAGAGGATTTAAAATATTTACTGATGAAGATCAAAGAGCACAGCCTTTAGTATAGGCTGCACTTCAATGTAAAGGAAACAAACAAAACTCCTCAGCACTGAACCAATAGATCACATCATGATGAAAAAAGAAATGACTGAAGTTATCAAAGACTACATTTTGCACGGATCCACTATCAACATTCATGAAAGCAGCAGTAAAGAAATGAAGCAACATATTGCATTGGACAAATCTGCCACACAAGACTTCTTTACAGTGTTCAAGAGCAAAGATGTCTGTTTGAGAATTAAGGAGCAGCTGACCCAAGCCATGGTATTTTCAATCATCACATGCATGTGCAAGTTGGACAATGAATAAGGATTCATTGAATTGATTCAATGAATCCTAATAGATTCACTGAATTCATCAAAGAATTGATGCATTTGAGTTATGGTGTCAGAGAAGAATACTAAAAGTACCATAGACTGCCAAAAGAACCAACAGACCTGTACTGGAAGACGTATAACCAGAGTTCTCCTCAGAGATCTGATTGACGAGACTTTGTCTCTCATGCTTCGGACA